GATACGTCCACTAAGTCCAGCTCTTCCTAGGTTTAAAGCTGTCATAGCTTCTTGGGCCAGACGAGATGTGAAGGTAGGAACCTTGACTACCACCCATTCTCAGAAACAGGATCAGTCCACCTCTTTCCAAGGGTAACAATAAAACCACTCCAGGAAAGCACCAAAAACAGGGTTTGGTGCTATTTTTAATAATGCCATGATTTAGAATGAAATTTGTCTATAAGAATTCTATTTAGGGCAGAAGTAGTTTACCCAGCACTGTGCTGCTAATTGGGAGTTAAGGAGTGGGGGAGTATTGACACACAGAAGCTTCTCTTGAAGCATTGACACTTAGGTTGGGAAGATAAGGTGTTTTCAGTAGTATAATAATTCAGTACTAAGACTTTTAAGGGGCCCTGGTGGCACAGTAGTTAACAGCTTGATTGCTAACCAAAAACTTGGCAGTTCGAATCAACCAGCTACTTCTTAGAAATCCTATAGAGCAGTTCTATTCTGTCCTATAGGGTTGCTCTGGGTCAGAATCGACTCAGTGGCAACGGGTTTGGTTTCGGTTAAAACATTTAAAGCAACCATACAAAAACATTTGAATGAATTTGCTCCCATACTGGTTCCACGTATAAAGTGGGCACACTAACAATAGTCACTTAAAGGGCTGTTGTTAGGATCAAAGGAGTTAATTAGTAGAAGTGTTTAAAATAAAACTAAGACTTCAGCAAAAGTCATCCAGCTTGTTTAGTGGTAAAGCTGAGAGGTGACCCAAGATAATCTGGTACCCCAATGTGTTCTTAATCACTATCCAAACTACCACAGAGCAGGTTGGAAAGTGACGGAGATAAAATTCAAACCTAAGTATCAAAATTTGGATGTTTGCAATACTCTATTTAAACATTTAGAGCCACACAGAACTATAGCAAGTATTTGTGTGTTCTTTTCTTTCAGAAGACTCTTAATATATTCTACGGACATAAAATTTGGAACAAACACGCAAGTCCATACAAATACTTTTCAGACTTTTATTTACACAATTAACTATGTCATATTATTTATAAGCTATGAGTGGTATAAAAATTCAAAAAGTGGAGTAATGATTTCTGTAAGCAAGACTAAGAAAAAGGGGAATTTTGACTCAGTACCTTAAGAGTAGCTATGGTTTTGAATAGGTAGCTATTAGGAGTGAAGATATTCCTCTTTAGAGGAAATACCACGGGAAATAAAATCAAGACAAAGTCATGTTTAGGGCATAGACCAGTTCAATAGATCAGAGAATTTGTTTGCAGGAGTTGTGGAAGATGTGCCTGGAAGGAGTGTTGGGTTAGAGTCCTAGGTACGTATTATACAAAAGCCCTTTGCCCATCATTTGAGGTATAAGATGACCACAAGATTTTTTTGAGACTTAGAGTTTCCTGAGCAAAGCAAAATCTTTTGGTGATTTAGGAACACTGATCTTTTGATTATATTTGAGATTGATTTGGACAAGAAAAGAGTAGAGATAGGAAGACCAACCATTTATGAGATGTTTGCAATGGATCAGATATGATGTAATGAGTCTGAACCAGGCTTTTTCCCCCAAAGTCTCTTGTTGAGCAGGCAACTATTTTTCATGAGGATCTAGTTAAAATTTTACCTGTATCGCTCTATGAATGAAGCACAGGAATCGTTTGTATTGCATTAGAGCATTAAATGACTCTTCTGAAAATACCGTATTTCATTCTTATGCGTTACAGTGAGTTTCATGTTCATTACTTGGTACTCATACACATGGCTTGAAAATATAGTACTGAGTTGATAGCCTATAACTTCTTGGTCTTTTAAGACTGTTGGCTGGTTTGTTGCACCACCGTGCAATGTAGGTGCTAAAATTCAGCACGATATTGGGAGCATTAATTCAAGCTATATAGAGCCTTGTAAACTTAGAATTGTTTTTTGATGTGTAAGGTTTCCTTTGTAGAGAGAAAAAATGCTACAAATCATGCTTATAATTCCCCATTATGTTAGTTAATCAACTATTTGAAATTTCTAAACATTGCATTGTTAAATTGTAAGTAGATGTTTTTCTTACCCTCTCTTCATCAGGAGTTCTATGGTAAAGAGAAGGTTTATTAGAGTGCATACTGAATAAGTGTGTGGAATAATAGCCCCTTTCATTAAGTCTAATTAAATTAACATACAATCTCATGCCTCATGTGTAATTCTTCCAGTTAGATGAACTCATATAAGGGAACCGAGGGTAGAGTATTAACTTGAATCCCTTTTACTTTATATTTTATTCTATGCTCTAGAACTTGCTTTCAAATGATTACTTTAATGCCACAGACATTCAGATATAAAATAGATATTTGGAAATTTATCCAAACGTGTGACTAATATTGTTGTTGTGTGCCCTCAAGTCAATTCCAACCTGTAGCAACCCTATATGACAGAATAGAACTGCCATGAAAGGTTTCCTAGGCTGTAATCTTTATAGGAGCAGATCACCAGGTCTGTTTCTGTTGTAAAGCTGCCGGTGGGTTCAAACCACTGACCTTTTGGTTAGCAGCCAAGTGCTTAACCATTGCACCACCAGGGCTCCTTGTAACTAATACACAACCATATATCTGCATATACAAAAATGTCCAACTTGCCAAAACTATTTCGTTCTCACCTACATTGTATATAAAATATATATCTTGTGTGTAGGAGAGAATTATTCCTGATTTTATTTCCTTAATGACAAAATAAAATACTAACATTGAAAACCTAAAAAGGAAAACTATGAAATAAAGAAGTCAAAAATTCATATGAAAATCTGATGCTATACGTAAGCCTCACAACACCTGGCTACTTACTCACTGCAGTTTTGCATTATGTAGTGTGTACAAAGCATTCCTTGTTAAAGTGCGTGCTTCAAATCCAATCAGTAGTAGATTAATTTAGGTTCTTTTGAATGAACTCAAAATTTTACACTACACCCAGCCTGCAAATTGGACTTTGAACAATAAGACAGGGCACACATTAATATCTTTTGGTCTTCACTCAGTGATAGCACTGGCACTGTTATACATAAGGTCTTCTAACTGATAACTGATAACTAAATGAGAAAAATAGAATTAGGCAAGTGGCTAATGCTACCCTGTAAATACATTGGTAGTGTATTGACAAACAGCTCTGTGGGTTTAGATTCCAGAGCCTTAATTTAGGGACCAGATGAATAATTTTAATACTTATCTGTATGGGATATGTTTCAATTGATAAATTAATATTTATATCAACATTAAAGTTTCTGCATGGTCTAACATTAATCACTCTTACTGAAGAGCAACTTCAGTGTTGTATCTGCAAGATTACAGGTTTGTTGGTGTGGGTTTAGCTACAATAAGTGGTAGCCTTTGGTAGCTTATACTTATTCCATATGTTGTACTGATGAGATTTCCTATTTTGTGGACACAGTTATCTTGTGGTTCACTCAATGACTCTAATTACTGAAAGGGATCTGAAATGTTACCTTTGTCCCATGGAAGGAGTCTCTCTACAGCATTATTGATTGTTTCTCACATTAAATTACGATATTTGGACTCCTCCCATTTTGCCTTTGTCCTTTTAGCCATAGCGAAATTTTCATCACATTGTAGGGAAAATTAGATTTGTGAAAATTAATAGACCCAAAATGAAACTAACAGTAGTTAAAACTGAGCAGAGTAGACTTCCTTTTTAATTATGGATGGAAAAATCAAACTTGCTTGATAAAATACGAACCTGGACCAAGGAGATTTTGACTTAAAAAAAATAAATCTGTAAGATAAAAATCACATTAACAAACTTTTATGTGAACCACAAACTAATGAATGAATCACACCTTATTGTAAAATTTACATACTGTGAAAACCACTTCAGTAAAATGAAAATAGAAATATTGAAATTAACTGTGATGAATAGAACATGAATCAAGGAATTTAAATTACTTGATTGAATTAAATCTAGAAATAAAGTTATCAATCTATCAGTGATGGTGTGATTCATACAAATGTTATTTGTAATCATAAAAATCCAAAGTTTTTACTGTCATACAATAAGTATTGTAAATACCTACCTGTTTAAAAAAGGGGGTTCAAGAGGACAGGAACAAAATATCTTCTACTCCTCTCATATACATCATCATGAAGAGGGTGGTTTCTTTCCCACTGAGCCTATTATATTCAATGATGGCCAGTTATTTATTTTCTTTTCCTTATGTTTATTTAGTAATTCAAATGAACACATCACTTTCACATATGTTATTTCATATGAGCATCATAGTGGTCATATGACTTAGATATCATCCCAAATCATCAAAGAACTCATACCTAGAAGGTGGCACTGCCAGGCTATAAGGACAAGTTTTTCTAATTCCAACTTTAGGATTATTTCACTACACTACAATCATATTTGGCAAATACTGATAAACATTTACCTTAATAGTCAAGCCATAAAGGATTGCTGTCTGTTACTATCATTGGTAATTTACATAGCAAATCTTTCTTGAAACTACTGTTGGTTATGCCTTATAGCCAGCTCTTTATGTACCTGCATGACTTTACAGTCCTTTGTCCAAAGTCAGGTAACTTCATAGAATCAGGATTCAGAAGAACCAGGTCCCATTTGCAGGATTGCCACGTAATAACTATGTGATCTTGTGTATGGAGTTCCACTTGTCTAAGCCTCAGTTTTTTCATCTGTAAAATGAGGATGATCTTGTCTGCTCTGCTTATTTTACAGGGTTGCAGACAATAATAAAATCATATGCTTCTGGAGGTGAATGGCAACACCTTTATCATTTTTATCCACAAAATCTACTGTAGTGACAGAAATATAATGTGGATGATACATAATGTAAATTGGGAAGAAGGAATAAGATGAGATTTGAGAAAATGCTTTACAAAATACAATCTGCTATAGAAAATACAAGGTGTGATTGTTTTTATTGGTGATGATTCTGCCTCATCTGAAGGATTTACACTTCCTTCTTTGTTTTTCCCCTAGGACCCCTGAGGTTCCTGTCCCAGACAGAATCTGTCACAGCCTTCATGGGAGATACTGTGCTACTCAAGTGTGAAGTCATTGGGGAGCCCATGCCAACAATACACTGGCAGAAGAACCAACAAGACCTGATTCCAAGCTCAGGCAACTCCCGTGTGGTGGTCTTGCCCTCTGGAGCATTGCAGATCAGCAGACTTCAGCTGGGGGACACCGGCATCTATCGATGCTTAGCGCGGAATCCAGCCAGCTCAAGAACAGGCAACGAAGCAGAAGTCAGAATTCTGTCAGGTACTGCAGTGCTTTCCATTCTTTGCAAAATGACATTTTCTGGAATAGTTGGAACAACAGTTTTTCTTTAACGTTAGTAACTGTTGTAAGTTCTGGCTTTTGTTATATAT